GAAGAAAACTAGAAAAATGATGGTTTTCTTGTGTGATTTATCCTACACCGAAAAATCCAAGAGATTTTCACTTCCTTATAAAGATAACCCTCTTTGAAAGAGTTAAGATTCTTAGGTGGAAAATCTCTCTTCACCGTGATATTCCTTTTTCTCTGCATCAGAACTGCTCGGACGAGAACCCTTGTGCTCCGCATCTTCGGATCAGAACGCTTCAGTTCCGAATAAGGAGGCTTCAGACAGAAATCTTGTGATTGGCTTTTGAAACGTTTCAGCAGTTAACGCCCAACGTTCTGCAGCATTAAACTGACAGTTCATGGACAAATCAATGCCCAACGGTCTGCTTATTGATGTCCAACGTTCAGGTCCTTCAATACATCATTAACACACCAAATCATTCCCTATAAGTAATTGGCAGGTGATTTGCAACAACACATCACACAACAAAGTGTTCACGTCGTTTTCAAGCAAAAACACACATCCACTTTCCATAAAACTTCCTAAGTTGAGCGGTTACCCTTGCATAGGAGAGGTCTCGTGTTCGAGTCCCACTAGCACCAGTGGAACTATGCTCCCCCAAAAAACCCTTCAAGTGATAGGGCCAAGCGGTGTATACTAATCCGTAGGGCCAAGCCAAAGTTGGGTTTCTGGGGTAAGGGGTCGTGAAAGCGGTGGAGCTAGTCACTATAAAAAGTTTACTCATACCTTAGTTTTAAGCCAGCACTTCCAGCCTAGCTGGTTGAGCGGTTACCTCTTCATAGGAGATGTCTCGTGTTCGAGTCCCACTAGCACCAGTGGAACTATGCTCCCCCAAAAAACCCTTCAAGTGGTAGGGCCAAGCGGTGTATACTAACCCGTAGGGCCAAGCCAAAGTTGGGTTTCTGGGGTAAGGGTCGAGAAAGCGGTGGAGCTAGTCACTATAAAAAGTTTACCCATACCTTAGTTGTAAGCCAGCACTTCCAGCCTAGCTGGTTGAGCGGATACCTCTACATAGGAGAGGTCTCGTGTTCGAGTCCCACTAGCACCAATGGAACTATGCTCCCCCCAAAAACCCTTCAAGTGGCAGGGCCAAGCGGTGTATACTAACCCGTAGGGCCAAGCCAAAGTCGGGTTCCTGGGGTAAGGGGCCGTGAAAGCGGTGGAGCTAGTCACTATGAAAAGTTTACCCATACCTTAGTTTTTTAACGAGCACTTCCAGCCTAGCTGGTTGAGCAGTTATCCCTGCATAGGAGAGGTCTCGTGTTCGAGTCCCACTAGCACGAGTGGAACTATGCTCCCCTAAAAACCTTTCAAGTGGTAGGGCCAAGCGGTGTATACTAACTCGTAGGGCCAAGCTAAAGTTGGGTTTCTGGGGTAAGGAGTCGTGAAAGCAGTGGAGCTAGTCATTATAAAAAGTTTACGCATACCTTAGTGTAAACCAGCACTTCTAGCCTAGCTGGTTGAGCGGTTACCCCTGCATAGGAGAGATCTCGTGTTCGAGTCCCACTAGCACCAGTGGAACTATGCTCCCCCAAAAAACCCTTCAAGTGGGGCCAAGCGGTGTATACTAACCCGTAGGGCCAAGCCAAATTGAGTTTCTGGGGTAAGGGGCTGTGAAAGCGGTGGAGCTAGTCACTATAAAAAGTTTACCCATACCTTAGTTTTTTTTAACCAGCACTTCCAGTCTAGCTAGTTGAGCGGTTACCCCTGCATAAGAGAGGTATAGTGTTCGAGTCCCACTAGCACCAGTGGAACTATGCTCCCCAAAAAACACTTCAAGTGGTAGGGCCAAGCGGTGTATACTAACCTGTAGTGCCAAGCCAAAGTTGGGTTTCTGGGGTAAGGGGCCGTGAAAGCGATGGAGCTAGTCACTATAAAAAGTTTACCCAAACCTCAGTTTTAAACCAGAACATCCAGCCTAGCTGGTTGTCAGGTTACCCCTGCATAGGAGAGGTCTCGTGTTTGAGTCCCATTAGCACCAGTGGTACTATGCTCCCCCTAAAAACCCTTCAATGGTAGGGTCAAGCGGTGTATACGAACCCGTAGGGCCAAGCCAAAGTTGGGTTTCTAGGGTAAGGGGCCGTGAAAGCGGTGGAGCTAGTCACTATAAAAAGTTTACTCATACCTTAGTTCTTAACCAGAACTTCCAGTCTAGCTGGTTGTGAGGTTACCCCTGCATAGGAGATGTCTCGTGTTCGAGTCCCACTAGCACCAGTGGAACTATGCTCCCCCAAAAAACCCTTCAAGTGGTAGGGCCAAGCGGTGTATAATAACCCGTAGGGCGCCCAAGCCAAAGTCGGGTTTCTGGGGTAAGGGGCGGTGAAAGCAGTGGAGCTAGTCACTATAAAAAGTTTACCCATACCTTAGTTTAAACCAGCACTTCCAGCCTAGCTGGTTGAGCGGTTACCCCTGCGTAGGAGAGGTCTCGTGTTCGAGTCCCACTAGCACCAGTGGAACTATGCTCCCCCAAAAAACCATTCAAGTTGTAGGGCCAAGCGATGTATACTAACCCGTAGGGTCAAGCCAGAGTTTGGTTTCTGGGGTAAGGGGTCGTGAAAGCGGTGGAGCTAGTCAGTATATAAAGTTTACCCATACCTTAGTTTTAACGGTGGACGTAGCTCAACTGGTAGCGAGAGAGTGCCACAAGGATTAGGTCCCGGGTTTGAATCCCGGCGACTGTGATGAGGGGTTACTATGCTAAATATGCATAGGGCCTCTGCAAATACCGGGGACATAGTCCCACTCTCTATCTGTCAGATTGGGATTATAGTCCAGTTTACATCCTCCCAACGTACCGTCCGGTCGGGGTTGGGGCCCCTCAGGGATGGAGTGTCATCCTTTTTTTTCTAAGTGTGTTTTTCTTTGCTTTTGTTCGTCGAAACTGTCGTTAGTGTGCTCAAAATATCGTTCGTTTGACACCGTATCCTATGAAACTATCGTTGCAACGTTCCTATGCTAGCACCGTGGGAGGCAACATATACATTTTAAGGACATTGTGCGTTGCACAAGCTTTGGCAATTATCTGTTCCATCTTATTTCTGTTTTATTTGGTTGTTTTAATTATTATTTTTTAATTAATTTTCTTTGTTTTCCAATTTCACACCAACAGGAGGAGGAGGAGGAGACTCACCCTCTTCTTCAGCTCCTGTGTGATGCTTCCCATGTTCTTCCTAGGATGCGCACTCTGTCATGGTCTCTGTTATGGAAGCTAGACAATAAAAGAAAGATCGAGAATAAGAAAGGAAATTTTGAGAGGAGAGAGGGAGTAGAAAAGTTAAATGTGAGGGGCTGTGACAGACTGCTATTGCTCTCGATTGCAGTTTGGGAGTTCCTCATTTCTCTCACACTTCTTCTTCTTCTTTCCTCCTCCTCTAATACCAGCTTCGAACTCCTGACGTGGTGGATAGGAGTATCATATCAAACCATCCAAGCCAAAGAGGAGCCGGTCCCATTTCTCTCAAACTTACTTCAAGAGGTGGTACGGTGTCTAGTACTAGCAAAGCAGCTAATAGAGCAAACACCTTACCTATGATGGGTTAAAACAAGGAAACCGATCTACATATATATGCATGCAATTCCAACTTCCTAGTTCGAAGCTTCGTCATTGATGGTTTTTTAACACGTAGTGTAATGATTTTTTTTGCACAATACGTAGTATTTTGTTTCTAAACGCTGTAGAGATCCTAAAAAACAATCCTCAAAATTTTGTAAGATGAAAGGAGCGCATTGCTAACTAATGTCAAATGATAATCGTAGTCCTTTGTACTAAAGAAAGAATACTACTCGGTAAAGCACTGCTCAGTAAAACACTTCTCGGTAAATAAGTTTTGGATATTCAAAATTATTTTATTACCGTTTCCTAATAATAAGAGGTTTATTTATAAAAAGATGACTGTAATTACTACTCCCTCGGTCCCAAATTGTAATATACATTTACTATTCACTTGGTCAACTTAAATCACTCTTAATTTTTTACTTTATATATCAAAAGTTTATGAAATGTGAATTATTTTTTGCAGGTTTTGTAGCGGTTTTTATGCAGTTTCTGCATATGTAAATTTTATTTTCTAAAACTAATTTGAGTGTTTACAGGGATCAATTTGTTTTATCGTCGGTCAAACATCGTACACCGTAAAGTATCTTACAAAATTGGACGGAGGGAGTATTATATAGTCCCATAGTCATTCAAGTGTAAAATTAAAACATAAGTTAGAAAAAATTATGGTTTGGAGCTCGCCTTGACAAGAAGCACCACTTAGTACTTACCATCTAATTTTCTGAGCATTTTTTAAAATAAGAATTACTCTTTACTATATATTGCATTCCTCTGGCGGTCCAATCAGCCAGCAGTTCCAATTATCTATTCAATTATCTTTACCCGTCTCACCTTATTATATAGTTACCCTCTTGTGAAAATCTCAAATCCCAATAAGATTTCAAATTATCGGACCCGTATTAGGTCCTCTAGTGGGATCCTTCTTATAAAAAAGGATGACACCTCATCCCTGAAGGTCACCCAACTCCGACCGGATGATACATTGGAAGGATGTAAATTGAATTATAATCCTTATCGGACAAATAGAGAGGAGATCCTTTATATACTATCACTGTCCTCATAAAATTGCTACAAGAAGTGATCTCATTTATCTATAAAAGTGGGTTTAGCAAAAAAAAACTCAAGAGTCAGGACCGGATAAAGCATTCTACCCGCGTCTGGCGTAGACTTCGTTAATTATTACACAGTACTTGGACATAGATATACATATGGTCAACTCAAATAGGAACGAAGTTGGAACTTTCCTCTTTTGTATTGAAGATTACTCGTATAATCCAACACAAATACTCCCTCCGTCCCATATTTAACTCCGATTTTGACAGGGCACGAGTTTTAACATAGTAAAATTTGTGTGGTGGAGAATTATGCAGAGAAGAAAGAAATGTGTAAGAATGGTTGTGAACTACATATTTTTTACCAAAAAAGAAAAAAGGAAATAAATTTGGACAGAACGAAAAAGAAAGAATGAAGATAATACCGGGAACGGAGGGAGTAATAAGTTATTCAACCACATCAAGTCACGCAACCGCGTAATTACACACCAAATTATTTCACACGCTCTCTATTTTCAACAAACTCCACTATTCAACAAAGCTTTATATACGAAGTATATACACACATCCAAACACGAAACAATTCACTCATCTAATACCATTTGATTTACATATTAATTGAGCCATGAAGGGAGCCCAACTAAACGGAGCCTACTACGGCCCAACAATCCCGCCGCCGGCGAACACCTACCACCGTCACAGCACCCGCGGCGGAGGCTGCAACCCCATCAGCTGCCTCTGCAACTGCATCTTCAATTGCATCTGCCAGCTCATCTGCACCGCCGTCGTGATTTTTGGCGTGTTGGTGGTGGTGCTCTGGCTCCTCTTCCGCCCAAACCAGCTCAAATTCTACGTCGACGAGGCCACCCTCACCCAGTTCGACCTCCCTCCGACCAACAACACCCTCCACTACGACCTCGCCGTCAACATGTCCATCCGGAACCCGAACAAACGGATCGGAGTCTACTACGATTCGATCGAAGCCTCGGCGTTCTACAAAGGTAAACGGCTCTCCACCCAAGAGAATGTGGCGACGTTCTACCAGGGCCACAAGAACACCACTTCCTTCAAGATCCAGCCTTTTAGGGGCTCGCAGGTTGTTTCTATCAACGCCGGAGATAGGGCGAGCTACGACGAGGAGAAGAAAGCAGGGGCCTACGAAATTGATGTGAAGCTGAGAATGAAACTGAGGCTGAAGCTTGGGAGATGGATGAAGATTGGGAAGGGGAAGACCAGAATTGAATGTAATCTCAAGGTTCCATTGAAACCCGCCGCATCAAGCACCAAATTTGAGAAGACGAGGTGTGATTTGGATTGGTAGATGCGGCGTATATACATACATACATTAAGTTATGTAGATTGTAGATAACTGTCAGTTTATCATTTATTTATGCGCCCATATATATATTCTTGGTATTTGATTGTTTTATTATTACCATTGTACGAGTATTGTTTTCGTAGACTTTGAGTCACCCATTGCTGGGAGTTTATCGTAGTTTACTGTATATAAATAAACTAGAAGAATGTGTTGCGTTTTTCCTTTTCAACTCGCCTTCCTACTTTTGAGTTTTGAGTCCCTAATTAAAATTTTCAAATTTTATCGCATCTCCTATGTTGTGTCAGGAAAAGGAAAAGACACCTGAATGGGTAGCTCAGTTGGTCGAGTAATGAGAAAATTGGATAAAGTGATCAAGGTTCAAAACTCGCAGCGGCCGTGAAGGGGCGGACCGTAGTACAGACCCAGGGGGCTACCGCCCCCCAACAAGATTTTTTTTAATGTATATATATATATATATATATGAAAAATAATTTTCTCCCGCCCAAAAAATATTTTGAACCCCCAAAAAATATTTTCGCCCTCCCAAGACGACTTTCCTTGATCCGCCCCTGCGGCCGTGTGGAGGTTACAGAACCTGAAATAAAGTTGGACCTCTGGTGCGCACGTGTATAAGGTTTACCGTCACTTTGCTGACTGAGTCACCGTGATTAACCTTCACACCATCTTATCGGGTCGGGGCAGGAGCTCTTCGGGCGGGAGTTTCCACCCTTTGGATCAAGGAAATGGAAAAGGTGACATATGATAAAAATGAACTATGCAAATAGTGACCAACTCAACCTGCCCATTCTAAAATACGGAGTGAAAGTTAGCTTGCCCCAATAATATGGAAAAAGGCATCTAAGTACGTTGAATGGCATAATTAAAACTCTAGTCTAAAATGAAGAGTAATGGTCTTAAATAGGACCAAATTTGAGTTTATGTAACCGTAGAGGAGCGACTTCTTTTTAATCCGTAAATAAGACATATTTAATGTGTTCAGACTTATTTATCCTTGCTATCTTATTTACCTCTTCTCTTCCCCCTACATCGATCTCTCTTCCTAGGCTCCTCCCAACGAAGCAGAGGAGTGAAGGTTTAGAGAAGCCGACAAAATAGAATAGGATGGCTGGGACATAGCGGCGCTGCAGCTTCGAAAATTAAGGACGCCGATTAACTTTAGTAAATTAAGTCGCCGACAAACAAAGACCACCAGGAATTCACCTCATTGGCAGACGCCCGCTGGACTGGATGGAGGGCTGGGCATAGCGTGGCGTTGTAGACGTAACACCATAGAGAAGACCCCCTGCCGCCGTCAGCGCAACGAAGTAGATATGGCGGCGTGGCAGTCGCAGCTGAAGGCCCTGGTTATTGGTGAAGCTTCTTCTTCTTCTTCTTCTTCTTCTTCTTCTTCTTTGTGAATTTGCCATCAATCCTTCTCCCAGTTCGGCGCATCTGAGATAGATTGGGGCTTCTCAATTTATTGTAATCATAGTCAATGACATCGGCATGACATTGTCATTTTTACAATGTGATTATTTATAGTATTGACATTGTCATTATAATTATTTTACATTTTGACAATTTCATATATGATACTCCCTCCGTAGTTTAAAGTTTGCTACAATTTCCTTTTTTCGATGTATTTAAAAGTAATATACACTTTCCATTTTTAGTAAGTTCATCCTTTAAAAATATTCAATTACCTTTACTTTTCTTACTTTTTATCTTATCTTTCATACCTTTTCACCATTTCTCTTAATTTTTGTACACTATTAATTACTCCTACTATTTCACCTTTAAATGTTGTTCTCAACCCCATTGTAGAGAACATTCAAATACGGAGGGAGTAATACTTTTTCGAACACTAACAATATTTACAATAGTATGACCATGTTTAGAATAACAATGTTTCACATGGGACATTTTAACATTGTAACATTTTTTACATCTTGACAATATCATTATAATAGCACGATGGTCATTGACATCAGCGTTGACATTGTCACCGTTACAATTTCATTATTTACAGTATTGAGATTGTCATTGTCCTTATTTGACATTGTGACGTTTCTGATATTATAATATTGTTACTCTATTTTGAAAATGTTTACAATATAGTGCCATTGTTGGTTGTAACATTGTTTTTCATTGTGACGTTCTTCACTTTTAATATTTCCCTACGTTTTAACAATGATTACAAATTTACAATTCAGTGACATTGTTTATAATGATATTGTGTTGTCATTTTTATAACATTGACACTCACATTGCCAATGTTATTGTAATACATCGGCATTTGATATGGTGACATTTTCCCAACAGTGTGACATTTTTTTATGATATTGTAATACATCGTTAACATAAATGTTTTATTCATATCATTGTAACTGATGGATAGTCTACCCGGGGATATGTATCCGAAGAGTTATTGCGGGAAATAACTAGAGAGAAGTCAGAGCATAAATAAGAGAGAGAGAGTATATTGCTGAGAAAGTAGTGAGCGTATTTCGCTTGGATTACAAATGGGGAAAATGGGCGCTATTTATAGTAGTAATAAATGTCAGATAAGGACACGTGTCATCATTCTGGTGGTCGAGGGGTCACCTCAACGGGGTGGCGCTGGCATTGGCATGTGGCCGCATTAAATGCGGCTGTTGGATGTGACGTCGTACTTGATACGGTGATTCAGCCGCATGTGGAGAGGATATTATGTCGAGAAAGGTGCCCTCGGCTGCAGGTGATTAGCCGAGGGCTCTGAGTACCGGGGACCTCCTTAGTACCGAGAGCTCTAGGTGCCGAGGGCTACTGATTTTCACCGTTTTCTCCCAGTAAATTTGTATGCTTGAGTTGGCCATCCTGTGAGAATCGGAGCCTTCGGCCAGGGGGCTGAAGACATCCTTAGTGTGCCACGCGGGTTGCTTAGTACTTGGGGCGCTGTGATTTGAGCCTGCTGTGCTTCTTGGGCCTATTGGGCCTCCCTTAGAATAGTAAGAGTCTATGGGTTGGGGGTTCCTGGGCCATATATAACAAATAAAATAATAAGTTTGGAGAATGTAATTCAATGTTCATGTCCAATAATGCAATAAAGTCTATCAAAATAAAGATAATGTTATTAACATCAAATTACTAACATGACAACATTTATTACTGAGTAATTTATTTAGATGAACTTACAAAATCAAACAAAAAAATAAAAAAAACCCAAAGTATCAAATACTCCGTAAGAAATTAAAAGATGTAACCCCAACACAGAGAGAATAAAAGTATTCAAGTGCGTTGAAAGGCACGGTGAAACGAATAATGACATATAAAAGGATTCGCAAATCACGGCTCTATATCTGTGATACTTTTTCACACTTTCTTACTCATTTTAAGACTGAAATTTTCTCTAAATTTACCATCACTCACTTCTTCTCATCTCCCCCCCCCCCCCCCCCCCCCTTTTGTCAAGTATCGTGTGATTTTGAGATGTACGAGTATGTTTTAAGAATTCTTTGATTAGAGCCTTTGATATATCCTCTTTTTTTCCTAATGTAATGGAAGAAAGGATGGAAATCTGGAACCAAGAACTCTAGGGAATTGATGAAATGTTGACTTTATATCCCATTTTTATCTTTACTAATCTTTCGGAACTCGATCGTTTTCTAAAAAAGTATGTATCCGAAACCTTTAAGAGAATTCCACTTTACATCCATTTTCTCTGTGACATTTAACTTTGCACTATATTTTCAAAATCATTAATGTAAAAATATCAACTCATTATAAATTTTTATTACTTTACACCCATCTTCTTCCAAATTTTTGAAGGGGAAAAGGTACAAATATACCCATGTAGTATGATAGATGCCCAAAACATTTCATCAAAAAATTCTTCCGGTAACCGCACCAAATGACGACGTCCGGACAGAGCCTCCTATATAAAGGGTGATTTGCACTTTTTAAGTTAGTTCAAGAGCTTATTTGATCCTTTAGCCTAACCCCTTTTACTTATTTTTTATTTTGTTCACTAATTGTCTACGTAACTGAATTGATAAGTATTTACCAAATATATACTCCGTATTTACTTAATACTCCTAGTTTATTTACCAATGTTTGAAAGGAAAAATTGTTTATATTAATATTATTAAGATTCGGATTGTTAGACAAGTTCAAAGAGATCAACATTGATAATAGTTATTGATGGAGTATATGGCCCAGGAACCCCCGGCCCATAGACTCCTGCTATTCTGACGGAGGCCCAATAGGCCCAGGGAGCACAACAGGCCCAAAACACAGCGCCCCAAGTGCTAAACAACCCACGTGGCACGCTGGGAACGCCTTCGGCCCCCTGGCCGAAGGCTCCAATTCTCACAGGACGGCCAGCTCAAGCAAACAAAGTTACTGGGAGAAAATGGCGAAAATAAGTAGCCCTCGGCACCTAGAGCCCTCGGCACTAAGAAGGTCCCCGGTACTCAGAGCCCTCAGCTAATCACCTACAACCGATGGCACCTTTCTCGACATAATATCCACTCCACACGCGCCTGAATCACCGTACCAAGTATGACGTCACATCCAACAGCCGCATTAAATGCGGCCACATGCGATTGCCAGTGCCAACCAGTTGATGTGACCCCTCGGCCAATGGATGCTTGACACGTGTCCCTATCTGGCATTTATTGCTACTATAAATAGCACCACATTTCCCCATTTTTAACTCAGGTAAAATACGCTGAATACATATCGAATATACACTCTCTCTCTTACTTATTTGCTCTGACTTCTCTCTAGTTATTCCCCGCAATAACCCCTCGGATAAGCTACAACGTGAACAAAGAACAACCCCGGACCTCCGCCCTCGAGAGACTCGGAGGGGCGCAAGACCGCCGAGGGGTCCAAGACCGCCTCGGGGGGAAGGCGTTCCAGAGGCCTCAGGAAAGTGGCGGATCCGTCTCCAGGGCCAATGAAAGACGTCCCCCTCAGGACAAGGGCAAGGCACTTCTCCATGCCAACGACGCCCGTCACCAAATCAACCAGGCCCACTCGGCCCGTGTCCATTCACAGGGGGCGGAGGCCCTCCCGAAGGACCCCCAGGACGAAATCATTGCGGCCCTCCAGCGCCGGCTTGACGAGATGGAGGCCACTAAAGCACACGCCACCACTTCTGCCCCTCATACAGACCTCAAGTATGAGGCCATGTTGGCCAAGATGGAGGAAATGCAGAAGAAGATAACCGAGGGCTCCGGGGAACCCACCATACAGCTCCGGACCCGGACG